GCCCCTCTGAGCGCCGAGGGGTTCAGGGTAGCCGGGCTGCAGCTTTGTTAAAGTGCTTTGTTTGTTTTCGTGCAGGTGTGCTGCGTGCTGTGCAGCTGGGAAACACGCAGCCTGCAGCATCAAGGTTGCCACCGTTACAGTAGCGATCCCTGTCTGTGGTTTCTGGGATAGTTCATGTCTGACCAAAAACAATATAAGTCACGGTGCTGCATATGATTATAATGGTAAATGGTTTCAGAACAATTGGGCGAATTTGGTGAAGAAGATGGTTCCATGGGAACTTGAAAGTTATACATAAGTTTTACATTTAATGTAAAATAATGTGTCATTTTTCCTGGAGTTTTTGCTGTATTATATTGATTTTTGTCAGTATGTAATATACTGGGAGAAACCCAAACAGTTGTGTAGGCGGTTTTGCTTGGATATCTCCATCAGGCTGTGGTAGGTGGTATTTGCGAAGGGGGTTGGATGTTTGTTGGATATTTGGACCGTGTGTTCCAGGTCTAACTGTGACAGGGCTGAGACAGGGGCAGTCTCAGGCAAGAGCGAGAGGGAAAGCTCTTGGATATGCTTGGTCTCTTGTACAGTTTTGTGTTTGGGTAACTTTATAAGTCAAAAGTGCCATTTCTTGCCTCCTCTGAGCTGTCATAAAGTTGGGAGATGCTCCAGTATGCTCCTTGCTGTAGCTGCCATCCAACTTCAGGGCAGTCTGTGTGTTGCTCCTAGTAGTATATCTGCAGTTTGGAAGAGCATATTGCCAATAAACTTTATAAAATATAGAATAATATATGATAAGTAATTTCTGTGTTTTTTTCCTTTAAACTTTATATTTCTGTTAGGAACTAGATATCAAGTAATGAACAAGCCTTATAAATCTTTTATACCAAAGTGGTTAACGTTACAGCTCAGTAACAGTACAGCTCAGTACCCTAATTCTTGCCTATTTGGTGCGTCATGATTTAATGCTAAGTAAACATAACTGTGATTCTTTTACACAATTGTAATGACACCACTATTGGTTTACATTTCTGTGCCGTATAGAAGTATTGTGAATGGCAGCTGTTATGTTACTCATGGAGATTGCTGAGCAGGTAAACTAATTGCGTAACTGAGATGAGATGCTTTTATAATCTCAGCCTTTTATAAAGCTGTTTCTTAGAAACTGTGAGACTCCTAAAACCAAATAATAACCATGCTGTAAACAAATTATTTAATTTAAGGTTTAGGCAAGTAGAAGGGTAAGCCTGAGCTCTTGCCTTGAAACTGTTCATACACTATACATTAGGTGTTTATACAAATTAAATTGAAATGCCGTTAAACTAATTGGAGGTGGTTGAGGTGGTTTGCCTGTTAGTTAGGAATTTTCCAGCAGAATACTGTTTTTGCAAGATTGCAGCTCTTGGCAAGAAACTTCTTTTTTTTCCCAGAATGACTTTGTTGGGTAAACTGAAACAAAAGCTCTTGCTCTTGAACAGCTTTTCCTACTCTGCCTCCTGTTTTGACTTCTTCATTAACAGCAAGGAGCTTGGAGAATGAGTTACCATAGAGCCAGAGAACATGTTTTTTAGGGGAATACTTTAGATCAGAGAAGTTCCCATTCACAAAGCTTGACTTTTGTTTTTGTGTTAAATACAATTGATATTTAATGGGAACTGTAAGATTTTTCTGTGAAAGGTAAGTCTGAGATTTTTCCAGCTCTGGTGTTTTTGCAAGGGAGGTTAAAGATAAAGATATTGCACAGTGTTTGTGGTTTTGGTTTTTTATTCTTCCTTCCTCTCTTCTAGTTAGCACTGAATATTGGACTTGTCCTGTGTTACAGAATCATTCCAGTCTGTTTTCTCCAAACCTTGGATTTCAGGATGTGCTATTTATGTTTGAATGTATTTTAAGAGTCATGTAGACATAGTGCTTAGGGATATGGTTTTGTGGAGGACTTGTCAGTTTGGGCTGATGATTAGACTTGATGATCTTAAAGGTCTTTTCCAGTCTGGGCAATTCTGTGATTTTGGGTTGTGTTTCCATATACTTAAGCTAAAAAGAAGTTGTAGCTGTTGCTCAGCCGTTAAATCTCATCTCTAAATATCATGTCGTGGATCCCTTAAATTTGTCCTGCTCCACCTCTTATCAAATGGCAACTATCTGGTCTCTTGTGATTTTTAAACCGAGTGAAACTTCTTTGAAAATTGGAAATGATATCTGGTCGTTTGTACTTGATGTTTTAGAGAAAAAGAATCAATGCGTTCTTGGTGAAAAGCACAATACTTTAGACACTGGCTTTATTTCACAGTATAAGCTTTTGTTTATTTTTTATTTCCAGCTAGATAAAAGCTATCTAAAACTTACATGTTTAACTTGTACATTTTAAACTGGAAGATTCTGTCCGTGATCTGTCTTGAAAGTGCATTGTGATTGTCAGTCTTTAGAACAAGGGAACACAATTCATTAGATCAGTTTTTAGAAATTGTATTTGTTGTGGTGATTTTGTTCATCCCAGGTTAGCAGCTGAAACAAAAAGATACAGCCCAGTGACTTCTTGTAATTTGGATCTAATTACAAATTTCTATTTCGATTTCTTTGCCTGTGCAGCTCCTTGGTGGTTTTTAGACATGGTGACTGTAAGATTGTGGCTCAAAATTTTTATTCTAGTGACCATAACTTAGTTTCTGCAGTTGCCTTCATTAACTGTCAATGGCAGTTGATAACCCTAGCGGTGGCCACTGAAACTTGCTTTAGGAATGAATAGAACTAAAGTTGCCTTGAGAAAGGAGTTCATTTTATATCACATAATTAATCCTGTGTTATTTAAATTGGTGTGCTGCTCTCTGGTTAGAAGCATGACTGTGGTAAAATGTCTTAGGGCTTTAAAAAGTGCTTTAAATGTTTGTTTAAATTAACCTTTCCAGGGAAGAAAAAAAAATAAGTTAATAAAAGTTTGTAGTGATAAGATTTATCAAGAAACTTTTTTTTTGTTGTTCTATTTTATCGGTGGCATTGAAACTGGTTTCAGTTACTGGTTAGATATCATTTATAAATTTGTTCTGTTGAATGACATTTGAAGCTATGTGCGATCTGCAGCCATTCCAAACATCATAAATTCCCACAGAAACGATCTATCTTAACCATTCTTCAGTTATTCTCAAGACTCAATGTGATTAATTAAAATCATTAATTGAAGTAGCAGGGGCTTGGGGGAAGAGCAATTTGGTTTCCACTCTCTGCCAACAAGCTCAAAGAGTTCTTAGGTACCTGTCTCTCGAGTGCTTTGTCTTGAAATGATCGCTGCCATGGCATTTGAAACTGAGCTTATCTTAAGAGGTGCTTTTTGATGGGAAGAAAATGGCTTTTGCATTTGACGAGTGTTTCTTTTCACAGCGATAATTCGCAGGTGTTCCAGGCTAACGTTTTGCGAACCCGCAGGAACAGCACCACAGTTATGAATCGTCACAGTCTGGTAAGAAAACTATTCGACCAACTGCAGTAGGTCCGAAGCAAAACTGCGAACAGGATAACAGAGGAAAACAAGACTGTAGGCTGTGAAACTAATACCACGTGTTTGCAGAAGCAAGACTCTAGACTGTGACATTAATATGCTGTAGCTATAATGAAATGTTATTTATAGACCGTTTGGCCTCAGAGAGTACTTATGTTTCGTTGTGATCATGACTTTGTTTGTAAAATGCGAGCAGATGTTCTAAGCGTAAGAAAGTAGTTTGCAAGGAAAACTAATTACATAGATGTATTGTTGTTCAGTTAGTAATGTGCTAATAACTTCTGACTTTATTTTTTTTAAAGGGCAGTGATGTCCTGATCTTAAATTGTCTTTTATGTAGTAATGACAGAATAGACTGTTGTGATCAACAACTGATACAAGATACAACTGGCTGATGAATCTCGAGGCTTTCAGAATGAAAGTATCACTTAGAGATGCTTGTTCACAATCTAAACTTTTGTAAGACTTCAGTTATTACAGCTCCCCAAATCTGAATTTTTAAAATATTAGTCTAAACCTATGATGCGTCAACCCAGAGAAAATATATCTTGTGTTTTAGGATCCTCCAAACTGTGGTAGAAGGGTGTGATTTTTGACTGATTTAGAACTCTTGTGCCGGAACACATAGACAGCATGGTTTGCTAACCCTTAGAGGGTTAGGGTGCGTGGGGTAGTTATTTCCTCTAACTGAAAGGAATTTTCGGTCAGACTTTCATGTATAAGCAGTAATGCAACTTGTCCCCTAAGACAGCCTTAAGAAACAGGTAGACACAGGATAAAATCCAGCTTCGTTTACTTATATTGGGGTGGGAGGGGAGTATTATAAATTTCTTTCTAAGAATGGGAAACAAAAGCCCTGTAATGCTATCAGCAATTAACCTCTTTTTCTTAGTTACCTTTTGAAGATGTTTTAGAAATAAATTGTTAGTTCCGTGTTAATGGTTGAAAAACACTGCTCTCCTGTTTTCTTGACTGATACGCCTTAGCTAGAATTCTGTTTTAAAATCAGGACAGACAACTACTTCAGCAAAGGTTTGCAACTGTAGCAGAACCAGGATACTTATGTAAAAATCTGGGAAGATTGGTGGAAAAGCCTTTCTCCTGCTAGGATATAAACCCCTAATATATCACGGTAAAGATATCTTTAAATAAGACTTTTTCTTCATATGTATTTTTAGGGTGGCGGCTTAGGGTGAATTTGTTTATGCCTGTGGTCAGAGAAAGGAGAAACAGACAGAAGCGAAAGCTCAGTTCATCATGTTTACTTCTTGTAGATCCTCAATTGTTGGGCAATAAAAGATGCTCATTTAAGGCATATTACTTGGAACTTGCTGGGAAGCAGGAGGTAGTTCGCTAACGGGCTGTATCTTCTGGGTGCCCCTAATAGATGGAGTGATGTTCTAAACCCTTCACCTCACTTGAAGGTTGTTAAAAAGCATCCTGAAAGTCAGCTTTCTTGTTCACTCCTGTCTGACCAGATGCCGATAAAATATAGTTGAAATTTTACTTGGACTAAAAATCAAGCGCTCCATTGGCTGCTAGGTCAGTGCCTCGTCCACTTTGAAGTATCTCTTTGAATTATGCTCTGGTTTGTGGTTTTGTTGAGGGTGGCAAGGAGGATGGAATTGGAAAGGAGCTTAGAGCTTATTTCATCCTTCTGTGGTCTTAAACCAGGATCACCCATGGATAAATGGTTTTGTGAAAATAATTAAACTTTCAGCATTATGGACCCTAAGCAGTCTCACCTGGTATTCTTGCTATAGCAAAGAACCAGGTGTAGATCTGCGGTGTTGACATCTACTTTGGTAAGTTAAATTTTACAATAACTAGGTGATAAAGTGTACTTCAAACGCCACTTTTGTGTATTTAGGGAAACTAATCCAAGTTTTATTGCAGTGTAAGCTGTAATAAAGAGGGTTAAGGGATTGAGTAAGTGATTGGAACGTTGTTAATTTAGCATTATAAGTACAGCTAAAATTTAATGTTTTGTTAAACTTCGGGGAAAAAAATGAATAGTATTTGTCTAATCTTTGTTGCCCTCACTGTCTTGGGAACAGGAGCTGCCGAAATGCTCTGACGACGGCAGGTCATGCTCTATCCAGCTTCATCTTTGGGGCTGTTGAGGTTGTTGTGGTTGCTCAGCTGAATTCTAAAATCTTTTCCTTTTTGAGTAGCTTCTCCAAGTCTGGGACTCCAGCTCTTTTAGAATGATGACTACAGGGGCAACTATGCCATTTTGGCTGGGTCTTGATCTGTAGTTTTGTGACACTACATGTAATCGCCAACAACTAGGCTCAGCACCCGCTATTTATTTCCTTCTAGAAGATACCAGTGGCATCTAGGGAGTAAATGTTTTGGTGGGTTTTGTTTTGTTTGTGTGGTTGGGGCTTTCATTTTGCTGTTTAAGCAAAACATTTTAGTCAGTGGTTAGACACTTAGGTACTATTTCACCAAAAATGGATTCAATTTATTTGTTTTATTTTATTTAAGCTTGATAAAATCCCTGTTGCACTTCACTGTGTGGCCCCACAAGCGCTGGTGTTGGCAGAAGCCAGAGGGCACTGCAGGGACACTGGGCAAGGGCTGAGAGGCCGGGGCAGGTTGGCTGAGCTGCCTGCCAGGCTGGCGCTCGGGAAACTTCACCTTCAGCGCAGATTATCTGACGTCCTGCAGACTGGGGGAAGGTGTTTCTTTCTCTGTGGTAGTCTAGCAGTTTGTGGTGGGTTTCTTTTTAAGCTTTACGCTCTCTTAAAACATCAGAGTGTGAGCAGCATAATTTTAGCAAATGGGTTCAGTCTGCTTTAGCAAGTAGCCTTTGAATGCGACTGAGGTTTCTTTTCACAAGAAATAAATGAAGGACTGTGAAAAGGGAAAAAGTGAGTTTTAAGCATTGACAGGACAGGGATCGTGACTTGTTGGAGATGAGACGTAGGATCCTCAGAGTTAGTGGGTTTAGTGCGTTAGGTCCTGCAGAGGAACGCTTAACTGTCTTTTTATAATTTTTGTTTTACACTGTGAACCACTCATTTTGTAAACATTCTATTTATGTCAAACCTCAAAGTATGTGGATCACAGTCATAAAATTAGAATATAATGAGTGGAACAAATGCATTTCTGCTGTGGAGTGACAGAATGAATAGGCAGGAATGTACTATTGTCCAGATCCTGTTCTCTGTGTGAGAATAAAGGTCAGCTCAAGGTCCATGTTGGCTGGTATGGTTTGGAAGAATTTTTATTAGGAGCACCAGATTTTTGGGAGCCCACTGTAATAGTAAAGCTGACCTCACCTGGGCTTAAGAAGTAGCAAATTGAGACATTATAGCCATTAGACTTCAGTAGTATCTATTCTGATGACTGAATTCTGACACAAATGGAAAACATCCTCTGTGTGAATCTCATAAGGTAATATCTTTTGTGAGATGAGGTGCATGATGTCTTGATGTTTGTTTTTTTGGAGGGAGGATTCTGGATATAGGAGGCACTAATAGTCTGTGATAACTTACTGTAACTTTTTGTGTAAGACAGTAGAATCTTTGTATTCTCCAGAGCACTGATTAGGTGCTGGTGCTGCAGTAAATAAAGTTAACTGAATGTTTATGAGTTCTCCATCTTCAGCATAACGAAGAGCTCTGGTAATATTTTGTGAAGTGGATGAAGCCTCGTACTGCATGAAATATATGAACACTTTGTAATAACAGAAACTTTACTTGCTGAACACATCCATTTTTAATAAACACCTTGGGGTTTTTTTTGGAGGGGCTGTCAGCTTACAGAGGAGTTAAACCTCTGTTCAAAGCTCTAACTTTGAATTTTTGATCCCTGAATGAGTTATGACAAAGGTCAACTGAGGGTCAGACATTTGAGGGATGGAAAACATAGAAAAGGAAATTTTATTTTGAGAAAATAATACCTTTTAATCAGTTGGGTTTGAGGTTGCAGTTTTAGATCATAGTATTTCAGTGAGATTTTGGTGCAAAACTGACCAGATTAACAGAAGACCATTTTTAGTCACATCCTCTCTGAGTTCACCTGAGTAGGTGAAGCTCTTGAGAAACCATAAACAAAGTATTTAACTCTTGGTTAGCCTTCTGATAGTTGATTTTAATTTTTTTTTCACCTGCCGAAGTACTCATTCATAGGCAAACAACAATCCAGAAATCTTTTTGCACAGTGTGTTGTTTTGGCCTTGTGCTTTTAAAAGATGTGTTAGGGAGCCTTCTGGATCACTTAAATGAAAATACTGTTGCAACCATCTATATTGAAGGAGGTGCTGTGCTTGTTAAAAGCAGCCTCGTTCTGCAGAGAAGGCTGTTGAGTTCTAATTACCTGGAAATGCTAATACCAATTAGCATCTGTGAGCATACACAGCAGTAGAAAATGGAAATACACATTATCATGTTTTTGCAAGTAGTTAATGTATTTTATATATACCAAGAATGTTACCAGTGGTTTGAATTTTGGATTTTTTTTGTTTGTTTATGTTTTTTAAGTTTGGGGTAGCACTATAGAGTGTTTACTAACACTCCCTGCACATTCCCCTTCTCCTGTAGTTTCTAAGTGGTATGTGGCTTTGTTTTGCAGTTTGTGCCATCCTCTCCTATCCGTATTCCTAGCAGCCGTCTTCATCAAATCAAACAGGTAAGCACAGTTTCCAATTTTTTTTTAAGGTTTAAGTTTTTCATAAGTGAGTTTGGTTTTTTTTGCAGTTAATGCATAATGTCCTTCAAATGGCTATAGTTTTAATTTTGTAGCACAGAGTCTGCTGCAGGCTATTACGTTGAGATGTTTTCAGAAGTAAAGGCTGTATCTTGTCAGCAGAGTTCTAAATTTCATGAAGTAGGAGGCATCTTCTGGTGAGAAGAAGATTTGAGCAAAAGAGAAAGCTTAAAATGGACATTTTGGAAAGGAAACCTTCAATGTAAACCCGTAGGGTAAAGTTTCACCAGGTTTTTGGCAGTAGTGCCAGCATAAATATTCAGGGCCAATAACAAAGCGTTCCTTAACTTTGTGTTGGCAAAGACTTCTGCGCAGCCAGAGAATGAACTGGATAAGGAAGCACTCTGGCTAAAAAATAGTTTGGACTCTTCTGGCTGAGCTATTTTTCATCTGTATAATTTTCTTCTCCAGATCACTGTACTTGTCCTGTCACAGCATGAGCGGAGGGGGAAGGGCACAAGAGCAAACACTTGGGAAGGGAGGGGGGTGCCAAATATCTGAGGAGGCTTAAATAGCACTGCTGCCAGACAGCAGACCGCAGCCTGAAGACTCAGGTTTTAAAATCAGCAAGCTCAAACTCTTGTGGCTCCTCCATTTTTGATGTTGGCTTTTTGACAGTAGAACGTTTATAAAATTGGCTTGATGTGCTTGATTATTTTTTTAATAATTTCTTTTTGTTTGCATGCTGGTTTTCAGGGGGTAGGCTTCATGTTTATGGGGTGAAAAGTAAGAAAAAAATTTAATGTTTTGGACAGCATTTTTGGGGTATGATGTCCAAAGTGATGAAAGGCACTTCTGCCTCCCGCCTCAGATCTTTAAGGTGCATGCATGCGTAGTGATCCTGAAGAAAATAACTGTCTGCTTTCATTATGTAAATAATTTACTAGCTTGAAGAGACTCTGAAGCAAAGTTTGATAATTCACTTTTTCTCTTTTAAATACTTCTGTATTCATAATTGTGCCATGCATTTGTTAAAGCAAACAATGGCATCTTCTAATTTGTATTTGGCCATTAAATTCACAAGTTGAAATTCCATGTTCTGTGTACTTACTGGCACAGACGGGACCCTGTGTGACTTGTTTCTGATCTTTTTCAAATTTTAGCAAATAATCACACAGTTAAACTATGTCAGCAAGGCTCTTCCTACATAGGATGAAGAGTGTGAAGATGTTTAGTTGAGCTTTTATTCTTGAGCTGGACTGAATTAGGGGATCTACTCATTCACTCAGCAGACTGGAGAGCATTCAGGTAGTTTTAAGGGCTCTTGTCTACCTAAGAGGAGTGAGTCAAGTTTGTACTGTAGCTTGCTGTTAATGTTTAGTTTAGTTTTGCATCTTTGATCCATTTTAATAGTATTTTATGGATGTTTTTAAAAACCCCACTAAATCCCAAATTCCTTGCACACAGTGCACTGTGTTACAAATAAAACCCTGACAAGTGTCTAGTTAGTTACTAATCCATAGAGTAGGGGAGGAGTCCAGCCATGCTTTTGAGGGTTATCGATGCTAGTTTTGACTTTGTGAAATGTTACTGTGCAAGCCTTATAAGGATACTCTAGCACGTGTGGGATTTTTGGTTCGTACTATCATGGTTCAGTTTTGTAACTACGTCTTTGATAGTAACAAAAAGAAGAAAAGCTGTTTGAGAAACAACCAACTCCCATAAGCACTTCTTATGCGATGGTGTCTCTTGCTACATCTCTTTCCCATCTTCTCCCCCTCACTCCTTTTCATGTAATAAGAGCTTAAGGTTATTGTTGCTTAACTGAGTGAAATTAAATTTTCCACATTCTGAAGTAAAATGAATCAAGCTTTTCTGATTTGCTGTAACACAGTTGGTTTTGGTTTTTTCTAATTTTTTTATTTGCTAATGTTTTAGGAAGAAGGAATGAATTTGCTGAACAGAGAAACAGTACGTGAAAGGTAAGCATTAAGGCAAACTCGAATACTTAATGCAGCCTTCTGAGGGTCTGGGACAATACATTTCTTTTCTTCTTTATAGAGAAGTGCAAGTAGCAATGCAGATGAGCCACTCATGGGAGGAGAGCTTGAGCCTGGTAATACATTCATGCTTTGATTTGTGTTTCTGTTATCAGTTATCAGGACACTAGAGACTCTCTTGTATCAGCATTTTCTTTTATAGTTTCACCAACGAGTAAGGTGTTAGTATATCACTGCTTTTGATCAGCAATTTTTCACACTAACAAGGCGTAGAATTGTCAGTTGTTTGAGGATACATGTGGGTTCCTTGGGCTGGCATGTCACAAGAAAATTGCATGGATTTCTGCTTGTCCAAGTTTTCTTCCATATTCTGACACTCACCAAGTAATGTTTAAGGCTTTGTTGTTGTTGTTGTTGAGTGTAAGCTCATAAAATGACTATCTAAAATTATTGATATGATGGAGGGTAACTTCGAAGTCTTACTCAATTCCATACGAATCAGTCCGTTTCATGGTAAGGTACTTGCTCATAAGATTAATAATATGTACTGTTTACAGAGTGACAATGATTTTGAAAAATCATCACCAAAGCAAGTAGACTTTGTCCCAGTTTCTCCAGCTCCTTCACCTACCAGAGGAATAGGGAAGGTAAGATGTGGTAACAGTGCTTGTATCTTGAGCAACGCTAAATACAACTGAATTAGTAGCAAAAGATTAAGCCACCTGTTCCTTTCTACTTCAGCTGCAAACAAGAAACTAGAGAGTAAACAAAAATAACCTAAATCCCCAAACCAGAAAGTGCCTGTTAGCAGTTGCGCATCTTGTGGACGTACATTTCTGTGGAGTGTTCAGCTGTTAATCTGCGGTTAATAAACCTTGTTATTTATTTGCCTTCCTCTTGCAATAAGAAGGTGGCACATACATCTTATTTTATGAACCATCATCTGTTTAACCAGACTATGGTGACATAAATCCCTGTCAACACGCATGCATTCTACATAAAAGTGGAGACTGTCCAATTAAATTGATTTTTATTTTCTCTCAGAGGCAGAAAGTGGTATCTCTGTATACACAGCCATATTGACTGGTTGCTTAGTTGATAGTGGGTGGGTTGCTTGTTTACGTGCAGTAAAGATCAGTTGTTACCGTACGGGTGTGACAGAGCGTTGATGCCCAAGTAATGCAGGCTCTTCTACTCTCAGCAATGTTTCTCGCCGTCTTTGCAAAGTTTGGTGAGCAGCAGTGGGTTACCCCCAAGTCCCAGCCCAAGTCCAACAAGGCGATTTCCGAGGTAAGTACCCAATCGTATCGTCAACAGAAAATCGGCGTAGCTCCTTCACAGCAGGCTTTTGAAAGAGAGAATTTGTTATATACACAGTTGATTTCTGATCACAAATACAACTTTATATGTTCATGTAAACTTTAGATTTTGCAATGCTCTAAAATACTGGTGAAAATCCTCGTGCCGTAGCGTTGGGAAATTGGGCTGAGTTGTGGTACCTGTCTTCTCACTGTAGTCTTGTATTGCTCTTAACCACGTCTTAAGCAGTCGAACTGAATTCTAAGGGGGAAAAGCCCCACACAAACAGATTTAGAGTTTGTTACTGATTCTGGTGTTAGTAGCATTGGATGTAGTTTTGAATGATGTGGGCATGCAATTAAATTTTCTTAGGCCCTAACAATTCAGCAAAGTACTGCCTGTCAACTGAGATTTAGTCAGTGCCTAGATGTGAGCTTTTAGACTGCCCCTTTTTAGACTGTGAAAAAATGTCATTAAACTTTTCCTATCAGGGTCTATGTTTTCTGGTCTTTCTTCAGAGGAAAAGAAAAAAAAAAAAAGAAAACAAGAACCTGTTTTAATGCTTATTTTCTTAGTGTTTTCCACTTGGTAGGTTGTTATCTGAGTATCTTTTGATTCTTTACATGTTTTCAGTTTCCTTCGTTAAGGGTGATACCAGTACAACATATGCTTTCTTTTAGCAGGAGAAGCCAGAGTCCAATTAACTGTATTCGACCAAGTGTTCTTGGGTCAATAAAAAGAAAAGGTACAGTAATTAGTTTTGGCTAATATAATAAGCCAAATTGTTAACTTTATAATAATTCATGTAGCTTTCTTCATAATTCTCTTCAGTTGGCTGATACTTCACAGAGTGACTAAACGTAGAAGGTATTACAGATGACTGAAAAAATAGAACGGTTTGTAGGGATAAAACAGACAAATTGTTAAAGTAGTTTTTACTGTTCCATAAAAGTAATGGTTGCTCTATTCTAATGCCTCTCCATTGCTGTAGTCATGTAGGTCTGATAAGAAACTAGTGTAACCTGCTTAACAAAACAAGGACTACAACTATTAGTATATTTAACTCAGCAAATAGAAAGTGTTGAAAGTCCTGGTTAAGTGAAGCACACAGGTACTGTAGTTGAAAATTACTCTTCAAAACCAAAAGCTGCTGCAGAGACCTGGTTGACCCCTTACAGCTTTACTGGGAAATGTTTGTCCATCTTCCTACATTTTTATTCAAGTTTAACTTCTAGTTATTTTATTGCGTCTGGTTCTATATCTTCATGCTTTGCCTTTGTAACAGAACACGTCTGGCTCTGAGACAACTTTTAAAATACTTTTATCTGAGTTCTGTCATAGCCTATTTAAGCATCTGTCTTTCCTTCCTTCTTCTAGAGTACTTGGAAATCAAAGCTAATATATAAGCTTAGTGATAATCCTGGACCTTATTTTTACTGGTTGCAAGAGGAAAACAAGCTTTCTTTATTCCCACCTTCTCTGCTTTGGTGGAACTGATACCTGAATAAACTGAAACAAAAAGATTGTTCTTTGCTACTGAAGAATAAATACCTGATATCTAAACCTCAGTTCATAACTCCCTAAACTTTACTGAAGCTTGGACTAAAGTGTTTCCAAGAAATAAAGAGTCTTTCAAATTTCAGCATTGAACTTTTATGTTTTACATTTTAAATAACACTCAATCTGTTGTAACTGTTGTGCTCTATAGAAGTGCATCGAATGTAGATTTCAGTTGAAAAGAGTAATAATTTTTTTTTTTATTGCTCTTCATCTCTTACCAAAGGTGTAACAGAGATAGAAGATCATCCAAAAAGATTATTCCAAGGATCCACCAGCATTCTTGTCCCTGAAGTTTCACACCAGGCGGACCTCGGGGGATGGTAAATGCTGTGCTAGTTATCCAAAGCATTGCAAGTCTTTTTTCATCTAGCAATGGTTATGCTTGAAGTCGTGGGGTTTTTTTAATGCCAACAGCTCGTAATTTTGCATCATTGAAATTATCACAGTAAACAGACAGTAATATTCACTACAATCCTACAATTTCTAGGACTGACTGTTAACACGCTTCACATATAGGGAAGCTGAGCATGTTTAGGAAAAGAAGCCTCATGGCTGGCAATTTTTGGAATCTAGTTGCAATCAAATGTGAACGTTAATGCTTCTGGGTGGATTATTTTTTGGTTTTACTTGTTTGTTTATTTTCTTGCTCGTAGTAACATAGGTAAATTAAAATTAGTCTGTCTGACCCTCCCTGCTGGGAAGAGATAAAAAGTACTACATTAAAAAATGTAACGACTTGAAATAGCAAGGGATTTTGATTTAGTATTTTAGTCAGGAGGTGTTTTTTAGTCAGGGTGTGCCCACACAACTCTCAAGAGAGAGTTGCTCACAGTTCTGTCCTTTTTGCCTCTCTGCTAGTGTCCATATAGCTCTGCCCCAGCTTTGAGCCTGTTGCAGTGGCAGTAATACCTCAGATGTTTTAAAGGCACTTCACAACCCACCTGTTTGGCACACCCTGTTCGCAGGAGGCACGGCACTGCAAGTTCAGCGCTGCATCTTGGTTTAAGAGATGGAAATTTAGAAACCGCTTCGATGCTATCACTTGACAAGGCGTCACCTATAGCTATAATTTTGTGTCCTGTGAAGTGTGTGGGGAGCGGTACAACTGAAGTACGCACAGTTAATCAGCAGCTCTCCAGGGAAAAGAGGATATATGGATATATGCTGGCCCAGGACCTTGTAGGAGATGGGGTAAAGCTCTCTCCCAGGAATTGCTCAGCCTGATGCTCCTTATCTGCACGCTGCTTCTGGGGGAGCTGAAGGAGGACAAAGGCAGAATGTTACCTTTGGAAGTGACTGCCAGGTGTGTAGTTGCAGACTGAGTTATTTCAAGTCGTAGGGCTTACCTCCAGGCTTACCAAAGCTGTACCTTATGTTCTTAAATAGCTGTGTAGCGAATGGGAGGTAGCATGTGAAACCTCTCGGGAGGAGTACCTCATTTCTTGTGTCTTGGTGTTACTCTGTTTTCAGTCTGTCGTCACATGCTCTTGATGACAACAGAAGCAGTGCAGGCTCTTCCTGTGACTCACCGGCTGAAGTCGGCACCAACACAGACTCTCCAGTCTCACTTTCTGACTCCAGATCTCCTTTTTTACCAGTAGATCTTACAGCTAAGTTACCTATGAATTGAGAAGCAGAAGTCTGCTAATGGACCCCAAGAACCAGGCTGGATATCAATAAGACTTTGTTATGTGTAACTGATCCTGTTCCTCATAGGAACTTCCAGAAATGTCATTATTTCTAGAAAACTTCCAGAACAGTTCCTTGAGGAGGAATTCCTGTTTCTAGTGATTTGTGTGACATTTACTAACACACAGTAAGCATTTGAACTGCAGACGCCTTTGATGCTGATATCGGTAAGCAGGCTGTTGGTTTACAATCGATACAGCCTTGTTGGCCTGAGTTACAAACACTCTGTATACGTCCTGCTTGTGGAAGACTTGGCTTTCCAACAGGCAATGTCCTCACTAATATGAAGTGGTGCTTATGTAGTAGCAGAGAATTTTCACATTTTTCCTCAGTCTGAAACCAAGGAAGCAGTTAACTAATTTGTTTTTATTCCCCAGGTGTTAGATATTTATATTTTTTGTTCTTCATATAAAAGGGGGAATATTAGAATTGATTCTTGTATTCTATTATGATTGGCTGTTAATCAACTCTGTGTTCTAATAGATGTCAGAAGAACAAATTGGTGAATTGTCAACTAAAATTTATATGCTGGATTTTATTCATGATCATGACTGCTGTTGTGCAACATTCTTTTGGGGTTTTGTATTATTTTCTTTTTCTTCCCCGCTTAGATGATGTACTAGAGTGGTAGCTGCTCTGTTAAAGACCTTTTAGTATGGAAAAATATTAATAATGTTTGAAACAAAACATTTAAATCCTGAGATTTTAGCATTTGGTACTTCAAGTGCATTATTTTAACGGACTGTATTCATACTCGTATGTGACTTTGACAAATAACAGTGAGGAACATTGAATGCCTTTTTACAAGCTGAGGCGATCAAATGTGTTTATTCTGTGTTTAATCTCCTGATGTTGCTTCCTCAGACAATGGCATGAAGTTATTTCTGCTGCTGAAAACTTCAGATGCTAATTGGAATCTTAAGAGTTTGGGAATCTGAGATGTTTCCAGATTCTTGTACTATATTTGAAGTCAGTGGGTTGAGGCATCCTGATTGTAACTCTGAAATTCCCCAAACAGGAGGGAAAATCTGCAGACTCCGCCATAGGCAGCTGTTTGAGATTTTCCACTGGTAACCTTATTTTGGTTGTTGACTCCTGTTACACAATTGAACTTCCCCAGCTGGGTCCCCATTTGCACATGGGGATGTGTCTGTACTACGTGATTTCAGGCCTTGTCTCCAGAGCGGTTAATAACGAAACAAAATGTTTTATTTTTAAACACTGAATCTTTGTAATGTGTAATAAAGTGAGAAAAGTATGGAAGCTTGCTCAAGTAGGAGAACTCTGAACTGTGCTGTGAAGGATTCCCATGGATGCAGCCTTGATTGACAGCCACCATCCAAATCGGAAATGGATGACTTGGAGTGCAAAGACCTGGTGACCTGAGGATCAGTGACCAGTTTCCGTATGTCCTTGTTGTAGAAAGAAAATAGAATGTATTTAATGGTTTTACTTGGTTAAAGTACGGTATGACACGGTTTACTTCTGATTTCATTCCTCTTAAATTATTGTAACAGTCACCTTACTGGTTGCAGTTGCTTTTTAGATTCAGGCTGCCCTTCAGCCCTGTGGCGGGTGGACAGACTTGTCTGCTGGCTCGCTGTCTAATAAAGCATAGTTTCATTTTGCAATTTCAGGTATGTGCCAAAGAGTTGCTGTGCGTTCACTCTTTTGTGGTGAGGGCAAGACTTTTTTTAAATTATTATTATTGCATATTTCTTCAGAATGAGCCTCCTGGTGTCTCTTCTTGTCTTTTTTAAAAGATCCATCAGTAGAGGGGTTTAATAGTTGTGTGTGGATCAACTTGTCTCTTCTGTTGAATATTTATGCTATTTTCCAAATAAGTGCCAATAAATGGAAAAAATAAATGTGTTTTGCTGTTTCTGCACTTTGTTAGAGAGGTAACCATATTCTTGTTTTCATCTGTGATTAAATGTTTTTAAATCAGAATTGCATGTTGTAACCCACTTCCTCCCAGTCTAGGTTACGTTCAAGTTGGCCTTAAAATTTGGAGCAGGCTTTGCTGGTTTCCCAGAGCGATGTTGTCTTGAAGCTCTGTGACCACTCTAGGAAAACCAAGGAGCACTCAAGGAAAACCTGGCTGATACCTAGAGGAAGTTGAGGTGAAATAGTTTGGCAGGTAGATGCTGCAGCTGGCTTGTGGACAGTGCTGAGAGTCTTGCATCTTGGGAAGTGGCAGCTCTTTCCGGTTTGCCTTTATTAGTGCTGTTGGAGGATAGAGAAATAGTTACATATTTGCAGTCATTCCTCTCCCTGCTTCTGCAAAAGAGAACTCACTTCGTACTTGTGGAAAAAGGCTTCTTGATTTCTTGTCTGTCCATGTCATGAAGAAGCTTCAGTTTTCCACCCTGGAGGCAAGAGACATGTATAGCTGTATGTATAGCATTTGGAACCAAATTATCCTGCAAAACATGCATCTGGATTCAGGGGATTAGAGTGTTTTACAATGTGCATAATCAGCCCTCTGCTCACACAGTAATTCATGCTGTTAGTATTGCCTCTTTTTGGTAATTCCCCCTTTACTCACGAACCACAAATATTGAAGCTCTTGCTTGCCTGAGTGTTGTGGTCACAGGACTGTCGCATGTGATGTTCTCTAACTGCTGGAAAGCAGCCCCGTGGAGAAAGAAC